TCTCTCTTTCTCTCTCTCTCTCTCTCTCTCTCTCTCTCTCTTTTCCTGAATGCTAAGAGAAGACTGGCTTTCTTCCACCATGCCCTTCTGCCATGATGTTCTGTATCTTCTTGGGCCCAGAACAATGGAGCCTGCCAACTTGTGGATTGAACCTCTGAAACTAGGAGCCCAAAATTAAACTTCTCCTCCTCTCAGTTGTTCTTGTCCAGTATTTTGGTCACAGCAATGAAAAGCTGACTAACGCAAATACATTCCCATGTGAATTGAGACCTAGGTGCAGCTCCATCAGAAATTAGATGCTATGGCCAGAGATTCCCTGGAAGAGAGAAAGTTTAAACTCAGCCCTGGACAGGTATCTGCCTTATCGGAGTCCATGTGCTATTCTGAGAGAGACACCTTAGTGGAGGAACTTCTTTCTCCATTCTTATCCATCTTGGTCCACTCCAGCACCAACTCCAGCTTAAAAATCTTCCAGAGATCCCCCTGATGAGTTCCATCCTGCTGAAATCCCAGAAAGGTGACAGCATGCCCCACCTCTCCCTTTCCCAGCCTTGGGGTGTGTGGAAAAGATCAGCCTCACCCCTCAGGAGTGGGAAGTTACTCCCTCTCTACTTCCCTAGGAGCCTTCATGGAGGTGGAGGAACTTAAGGCACAAAGAAACCATAACAACATGAGGTGCCAGTCAGTTTAGAAGGAAGCCAAGTCCTGAAAATGTTTCTGACAAGGAGGTAGAGAGGGATGCTGAGAGGCGGAAGGGGGCAGGTAAAGGTGGGCTCTCCTTTTGGTAGCCAAGAAGGTCCTTGAGTGCATGACCAGGAGACAGCAGAGGAGAAACCCAAAACAAAACAACAGAGGGCCTGAGAAAAACACCTCCTGACAGCTTCTGCACCAGTTTTTAGCATTTAAAGTTTGTCCTATTGTGACACCTTCAAAAAAAAAATGAAGGAAAGAGCCCAAGAAATGTCCCTGGGGAATATCAGGGCTACCCACTTCTTCCCAGCCGTGCTTCTAGGAAAAGCAAGATCCACAGAAAGTATCCTGAGGAGAGAAAATCTGCACTCCATGGCATCCCCACAGCATGGAAAAGTAGAAGAGAGAAGGGCTCCTTCCCTGACCTGGTGACCAGGAACCACCTTCTTGGGAAATCTCAGGAGGCTCCACATTACTGCTCAGGCTGGTGGGGTACTGAATCCTTGGGGAGAAAGGCACATACTCTCCACACAAAGAAATGTCCTATTCATTCAACAACAGGCCCTTGGAGCTTCCTGAGCAATTACTGCCTCCCCATTCAGCTTCATGCCTGGGCAGTCACTAATAATTTATTGCAACTAAGTCTCATAGCTCCAGTAAGACAGCTTCTCTACTTCTGAATTCCCCACAGAGCTTACTGAACACAGCTGGGAACCTAGTCTGTCCTCATTAATACTTCTCTGGCCCTGAATCTTCCCGTCCTTCCTTGCCACCAATTCCACCCCTACATTCCAGCAACTGGCCCACAGGAACAGAGCCAACCCAGGCCATTCCCTTCTCTTCACTTCCTAGGAGCTGGTCTAGCAGATGCTAACAAAGGGAAATGAGAACTTCAGGGTTTAGAGATCTGATTGGAAACTTGGCAAAATCCACTGGGAACTTCTATAAGCAAAGGATCACTACTAGCAAATGCTAATTAGGGTACTTTTTCCAGTTCTCCTATAGAAGACAGTCATTTATAAGGTTTAAGTCAGGTGTTGAATCTCCAAGAGAAGTGTGAGTTTCCAAGAATGTTTCCTGAGGAAGGTCTCTGGAAGGAGCCTTTTAAATTCTTGAGATTCACCTAACCTATACAAGGTAGTCATGGTGATAAATTATGGTAGGCAGGTGGCTAGGTCAGGTGATCTGATCAAACACCTTCCAGTTCCACACTTCATTGAATTTTGAAAGATCTAACTCATCCATGTGCAAGACAGTGACATGGTTTTGAGCAAGAAGACCCACAGTTCACATCCTAGCTCTGATTCTTCCTAGATGGGTGATCTTGGGGCTTATGGGGGTGCGTCACTTAATCTCTGAACAAATTTTTCTTGATTATAAAATGGGGACAATATTAATAATATCTTCACATAAATATTAGGAGATCTCACACATGAATAGGTTATAAAAACTACAAAGTATTATTCAAATGATCCAGATTATTGAAAGGTTCTGATTATTATAATAATGGTAATGGTTAGCATCAGAAGAACTGAGAAGATCATAGTTGATGGATTTGCTATTGGCTCCTCTCTGCCCTGGAGACCTGCAGCTCTTTTACTGCCTTCTGGTGGGGACCTAAAGGAGCCCAGTAGTAAATGCTGACTTCAAGCTCCAGGCTGGAGGTATTTTGCCTCCCACCAGAACGCTCCTCTGTTGCTTTTATAATTTGACAGCTGACTCCCAGCAACCTCTTCCCCAGGTAATAAACCTGACAGTAAATGGAGGCTCCTGTATTTTAGTGTACATCATGTAAAAGGAGAATACCCTCCAGGAAGGAAGAATCACTTGTACTACCCTCAGAAAATATGCTGATAAACTCACAAAGTCCCGTTATTGCTAAATGCTAATTGCATTTCCTTGGGTAAGCACGATAAAAAATTTATTGCAGTTTTTGGAAACAAGATGCCAATTGCATTTTAATTGCTAAAGAGGAAAGTGTATAGGAGAAGTTTTGCCAGGAAAGTGCTAACTGGGCATAAACTCAGAAAGAGATCTCCCCAAGCCAAAAGGCTGAATTCTGAAACAAGAGCTAAGGAAGAGAGATGGGACCTGCAGGGAAGCCAAACCTTCCCTAAGAGAGCACCAACTTAAGTATTATCAGACTCAAAGCTGCAGAGACCCTGGACAGTTGGAGTTTTTCGCTATAGAGCATGATGTAGATTTAACAAATTTAAAGAATTTAAAAATTAGGGGACTGGGGCTGGGGCTCAGCGGTAGTGCACTTGCCTGGCATGTGTGAGGCACTGGGTTTGATTCTCAGCACCACATATAAATAAAGGTCTATCAATAACTAAAAAATTAAAAAAAAAAATAGGCACCTGCCAAAATTCTGGAGTAGATGAACAGAAGTCAATACCAAAGCTTCAGAAACCATGTATGAGCCCAGCATAGTGGCACACATCTGTAATATCAGTGACTCAGGAGGCTAAGACAGGAGGTACAAGTTCAAGGCCAGCCTGGACAATTTAGTGAAACCCTGTCTCAAAATTTAAAATAAAAAGGACTGGGAATGTATCTCCATGGTAAAGTGCCCCTGGATACAACCCAGTACAAAGAGAGAGGGTGGGCGGTAGGGGGAAGGGGAGAAAGAAAGAAGGAGAAGGAGAAGGAGGAGGAGGAGGAAGAAGAGAAAGAGGAGGAGGAAAGAAGGAAGTAAAGAAAATATATGAGAGCAAAACTGTATTTCTATCCCATAATTTACAAATCAGGGGGCTGGGGAAAACCCAGACCAAGGGCCAAACATAACTTCAATTTAATAACATAACTCTTTGAACCAGTTCACAGACTGTCATTTTAAAACCATACGCTATTTTCCAGTTCCAACCTCCTTGTTTTACAGTGTCTCTGCCCCATGCAGGACCTGCCAGAGCTAGATAAGAACAGGTGAGACAACAGGGGAGGGGGAAGGATCCTGATTCCCATGGGCTTATACTGGGCTATCCAGCTTTGATCTTCTCTTCCCAGGAGCTCCTGAGCTAGGCACTCCTCTAGGGAGGCACTTAGCCCACCTGAGGGCACAGGGAGAAGGCAGGACTAGGAGAACCCCTGTGAATCCTCCCCAGGACAGGGCAAAAGGACAGGCCCCCAACTGCTTCCAGTAGCTTCTTCTATCTCTCACCGTAACCTCCTCAGCCCCCAGCTCCCCACATCATTCCCAACCCAACTCCAGCCTCTCTCCTGTCTTGGAGCTGCTTTGATGAGAAAGAGGGACTAGAAATCCGGGTCTGAGGGGAGATGCCGGGTGGCCCAGCTGCTGGCCTGTGGTGGTGATGGTCATGTGTACAGTGGTAGGAGATTCACTCCTGCATCCATCCATGGAGGCTGCTTCTTCTCCAGCTAGTGGACCTGCCAAAGAGCACAGGAGACATGACACCAATGTGCATGAAATTGCATCAAACAATGGGACTTAGCACAGGGAGTCCTGAACCAAAAGAGGAATAGGCTGGATTCCCAGCATGCTCCACCACACACTAGCCAAGTGACTTTTATCTTAGTAAATCACTTGACAATTCAGAACCTTGATTTCCACTTCTATCATAGGAGACTAAAAATATCTGGGGCTCTAGAAATTTTGGAAGTTTTGAATGAGAGGATGGATCCATACATCCCCTGACACTCTAAAATGTATTATCTATCACCTGCTTCTATGCCTAACCTCAGAGAAAGATGCTTTCCATTATCACACCCTTGCCATTGTACTTAACACAAATACTATGCTTTGAAATACACTATTGAACATGGCCCCCTCAGTGAATAGATGAAGCCTAGTGTCACGCAAGAGTTTAATTAGGTTAATTAGAAATTCAGCTAAGTCTTGAGTTTCTCCATAGTATAGGCAATGCAGTCACTTATAACTGATTTAGGGACTAGGGATGAATAACAATAACTTATAACTACATTAATAATACTCTGGATCACTTACCCTAAGCCTACCACTATACAGGCATTGACAGGTCTCATCCCGCTTAATCATCAGAGTAGCATATAACATAGCCAGGATGGCTATGACCAAGACACTGAGTTTCACCAAGGGTAGGAACTTGCCAAAGGTCACCCAGGAAAGGGCAGACCTAGGTTGCAAACTCAAGTCTATTCTTACCCAGTTAATGCTTAAATTAATAGAAATCCAATGGATTCCATGTTATAAACATCACTACTTCTTCCTTACATTCTGGAGAACATCCCCTAGTCCCCCTCCTTTCCTCAGCAGGGCCAAGGCTTAGGGGTGAGATTCACAGTGTCCAGGGGCAGGTCCTTTAGAAGCCTCACACTCCATCACTGCCCCCACACTCACTTGCACAGTTTTGTGGATCCAGTCCAGGAACTCAGCCACCTTGGCGTAGACACCTGGGTGATTGGGCTCTGCACAACCACGTCCCCAGCTGACCACACCCACGAGGTGCCACTTGCCCCCATCTGGGCAAACTAAGGGCCCTCCGCTGTCCCCCTGAGGTATCCAGGCATGGAGACACAGAGAAACAGACAATCAGACCTTCCTGGTAGAGGAGAACCAGATCCCCATGAAGAATAGGGTCTCCTTCCCAGGCCTTCCTGCGTCCTGCTAGGATACCTGCTGGCCTCCCCCTCCATAATCCCTTAGCATGAGCATTCCTCCTAGATTCTGTCTCATGCTACCAACATAGGCAGACCAGGGACCAAGCTGCAGCAGGTCCCTGTCCCCTCCCTCCACCACAGGCCACACCTGGCATGCGTCAGCCCTCCCGTCCAGGTAGCCAGCACACATCATGCGAGGGGTGAGGGCCCCGCTGTATATGCAGGAGCTGTTGCAGAGCTGGGTGCTGAGCAGGGGCACCACTGTATCCTGCAGGGTGTCTGAGCTGTAGGCTGCAGGAGACACCAAGAAAAGCTGCAGGGCACCAAGCAAGGCCAGAAGACAGAGCAGCAAGAGGGAAAGAGTTAGTAGTCCCAGAGGCATGGAGACTCAAAAAGGGGAGCCAAGGACAGGAGTTGTGGACCACAACAGGGTGCTGGGGTTTAGAAGATTTAGGGTCTGGAAATGAGGAGAGGAGGAGGAGAACTCACACATATACCTAATGCCGAGGCCATGGCACTCCTGGGACAAGGGGATAGGGGGTAAAAGGTTCTGGGCTTAGGGAAAACATCATTGCTTTTTCTCCCCAGAAAAGCCCAGCCAGGGAAGACTGGATCCCCCAGGACTGGCCACTGGTGGTGCCAGGGGAAATGAGGGCTGGAACTGCCACGTGGCCAGGGAAAATGGTGTGCCTCCCCTTGGAGAAAGATGCCTCACCCCACCCCTTTTGCACTGAGGGCCCTTGGAATTGACTCACTATGGCTGGGGTCGGTGTGGCCCCAGCCAGACACCCAGCACTGCGAGCCACTTGGAAAATGCTGTTCCTCAGCTGGCAAGCACACAGCGCCCACAGTCTCTGTGGAGAGGCACAAGGTCTTGGTCTCGATTCAGGTTTGGCTTCCCTCCAGCAGAGGCTGGGCAAAGATCCTCCTTATCCCCCTTCTCAACAGTCCTGGTGCCTTGCCTCTACCAGGCTTCATGTAGGGCTGTCCAGGCCAAGCACAGTCCCACCCTGGGAGAGACTCTTTTTAAGAAACAATGTGCAAACTGTTGTGCATGGCGCCCTCTAGAGGTAGGCAATGCACTTGCTTTCTACCTCCACTTGGGGACTGAGGGAGAATGGAAACACCTTCTGGCCCTGGGTACAAAATTTCTAGCAAGGACCCAGTTTTGGCTTTTCCCTAGGGTATCTGATCCCTAAGGAAGTATTTCCAAAAGTATATGACACATCCTATAGGTGGAGCCGAACATGATTTTAGATAGAATATAGACGTGCCATTTCATAAACACTCACTCATTTGGGGAGAGAACTATTTCCTTTTCAATTCTCTTTCAGTACCTCTTATTGAATCAACGAGAAAGACTCTGTCTGGTGCTAGTTTGTACTTCTCTCAATGTTTTCAATCTCCCACTGAACAGAGGAGAGCAGGCCTTTGCCCAACAACCCCTACAGAGGACTCCAGCAACCTAGAACTTACATATCAGTTTGTTTTCACAGTACATATTTTTACAGTTACTACCTATTTACTATAGTTATATAGGTTCTCCAATCAGGTAGTTTTCTCTTTAAAATATATTTATGTAAGTGAATTTAGAAACATTAACTATTTGAGCAATAGTACACATATGTGATAAGATTTGTGAAATGCGTATAGCAACCACTGTTGTTTGAGAAATCCAAGTGGATAGTGATGGGAAAGAGGAATGCTGAGTGCATAAGTTTGTGTGTGCATAAGTGAGCGTGGGAATGTGAGTGCACACAAAAAGATGGGGTAAGCATGTCTGTGCATGAGAAAGTGTGAATGCACAGGTGTGTCTGTGCATGTAACCCAGTGCACACATGTGTGTTTTTCTGTAAGTGTGTGTTTGTAGCAGAGTGTCCACATGCAGGTGCATGTTCAGGGGAATAGCAGCTGGAACAACTGCAGCCTGGGCTCACCCTTCTATGGCAGGTGCTTTGGCAAGAGGAGTTCTGGCTTTGGAGGCAGAAGTTTGTCACACGACCTTAAAAAAATCACTTCCTTCCCTGAGCATCAATGTCCTTGTCTGTATATACATTTCATCTACTTGCCAGGTTTGTTACAAAGACTGAGAGAAAGGATATTTGGAGAAGTAAATTTCTTTAACTCCAACATTTCACAAAATGGTTGGGACTTTGGACCAGTCTGGGAACAGGGGTAGAGCAGTCTATTGTTGAATGAGGCAGCTGTGAAACCCTGCTTGGGACGTCAAAGCAAATTCAATCAGCATAACCTTCTATGAAGAGGGCCTGAATTTTTGTCCCCAAAAGAGCCTGTTCAAGAATTGGTACAACTTCAGGTCTAAGAGACTGTAAAAGTCACTATGATCCAAAGTGAATGGTGTACTTTTTAGTTTACAGTGCTAGGAGGATACCCTAGAAATCAGCTAGCCTCTCCTGCCACCCAGTCCCTGTTCCTCTCTCACTACATTCCTAGCCTGCTAGTCCCAGGGCCAGGGTCTCTCACCTGAGAAGTTGAGTGGTATCCGAAGACGCAGAAGGGCAACATCATAGTCATGACTTTGAGCACTGTAGAGGGGGTGGGAGATGATTTTCTCCACCATAGCCCCCTGGTGTGGCTTAATGGTGCTATGGCTGACCAGTCCTGCATGAACCCGCCAGCTGGACAGGCGGAACAACCTGAAACTGCACAAAGGGACCATGCTGAGCCCATGGAAGGAAGAGTTACAGAAGGTAGACATAAGTAAGGTAGTGAGTGGAGGAAGTTGGCCAGAGAGGTCATTAGAGGGGACCACTGTCACAAATCTCCAAGTTCCTGGGACCCAAGGATCATGCCTCTTATTATCACCCTAGCAGCTGACAAGACAGTGGACATGCAGTAGGTGCCTAACAGGTGCTTAATGACTGATGGACAGAGAAACAAGATACTACAGGTCATCTGCAACCACCAATCACTCCCTCTCTCCTGTATAATCACCCTTCAGGCTTAATGTTGGAAGGCCTTATAAGATATGAAAACTCTAACCTAAATCAAAAAACTTCCCTCAGACCTGTCACACTGTGTGTGACCTGAGGGAGGTTCTTCCCTCCCTAGCAACATTTTCCTCATAAAATTAAGTTTATACTCTCTGACTTGCCTGCCACCAAGAGAAGAGACTCAAAGAACTCATCCATTCATCATTCATTTGTTCATCCCTCCAACTAATATTGATTAAGCATCTATTATATTCCAGGGAATGTTCTAGTCACTGAGGACACAGTAGTGGATAAATCTACAAAGGGATTTTTAGACCAAGAGTCTTTTTAGATTCTTAGACCAATGAGACCAAGAGTCCCTGCTCTCCTGGAGCTTTCAATCTAAAAGGTGGAGAAAGACATTCAATTAGTAATTACATGAAAAGACGATTTAATTACAGTGGTGATAAACATTAAGAAGCAGAGTGCAATAAATGCAAAAGCATCTTAGAAACTTAAAAACTGTGTGAATATAAAGAACCAGTCTTTGACTACTGTTGTTTTTGCAGAGCTGAATTTGACACTGACAGGGAGAATACCACCCTTGCACACTTAGAATGGACACCTGGAGGCAGCAATTGTACAGGGACACTTTATACAGGACAAACAGAAAAGGTAACTGAGATCCTCACCTCCCCATCAGCCCCCAAGACTTGCCTGTGTATGCAGTGCGCAGCAGTCATCACCCAGTGGGGCGCCAGTACAGAACCCCCACATGTGTGTCGGGAGCCAAGGGTCACACTGGCCTGCCATGGCCAGCGCCCAAGAGCTACAGCATGCCCACCAACTATCCGGGAAGCCAGAGGCCTTGTGCCGCACTCTGCCAACAGAGAAGGGTAAGACAGAAAGAGAAAGCCAAGTGCCTGAGAGCCAGTGTGAACAGCTCATTTATTATTCCTGGTCCTAACAGGAAGATAGGAATGTTAATTACCCATCTGTGGGCTTTCTGAGAGAAGGGATGGTGTTCATGGGATCTATGGAGCCCTTATGTCAATTCCACAGTAGAGGTCAAAGTATGGATGAATGTGTGGAAGTCCAATGGATATGTGGATAGATGGATGGGAAGAGAGGTGAAAGGACTCAGACTGTTTCCCATTTGGACCCTAATTCACTACCCACCCTTAGTCTCCTGAAACTACTAACAAATTTCTCAGCAGCCAATAGCAATTCCACCTTTCAGGTTCTTCAGAAGAAAGGGGCAGTGAATGCCGGAGGCCAAAATAGAGTGGAGTAGTGAAATAGAAACATGATTAGCCAGCACCGTGCCTGTTTGGGGACATAACAGAGAACTAAAGGGGCTTTGTTTGGGCAGACTTCACCTGCGAGAAGGAGCCCAGCATATGGATGAGCACATGGGCAAGGACCACTCAGACCCAACTGAGCCTCTCCATAAGGCTCTTCCATACTCCATACTCAGCAGAGCAGGGAAACTCCTTTCTCTCACCCATTTTCCTAGGTCCAGGACATGACTTACCAGAGCATTTGAGGGAAACAACTTGACCAGAAGTACAGTTGTCCCTGCAAAAAGGCACCAGCAAGAAGTTGGACAGGGCCAACCTGAGGCCACACATGCCCCAGGCATGGAGGTGGGGGGGTGGTAAACAGTTCTTAGGGCTGTCATGTAGAAGGCCTGAAGAATACCACCCTTCTCTTCCTGCCTCCACCCAAACACCTCGTAAGCAGTTCTCAGGACAGCAGCACATAGTAGGCCAGGTCTTCCAGAGGGTAACAGAAAGCTTTCAAGGTCCTTAAGGATCCATTTGGTCGGGGCTCAAATTTACAAATGTGGTTATTTATAGATGAGAAAATCCAGCTGTTTCCACTAAACGGCCCTGAATAAACACATATTCAGTGGGTAAATGAATGGATATTGAGTGGATGAGTGAATAGAGCCTTTTTCCCTGTGCTCCTTTCCAGGTTCACTGTTTTCTGTCCCAGGTCTGCATATTTGTATTTTTGCTCTCCTCTTTCTTGCTTCTCTCTTTGGGGTGGGGGGGAGTGTGTATGGGGGGTACCAGGGCCTGAACTCAGGGGCACTCAACCACTGAGCCATATCACCAGCCCTATTTTGTATTTTATCCTCACTGAGTTGCTTAGGGCCTTGCTAAGTTGCTGAGGCTGGCTTTGAACTCTCGATCCTCCTGTCTCAGCTCCCAAGTGGGATTACAGGTGTGCACCATCACACCCAGCATCTGTCTCTCTTAGGATAAGCCTCAATTCCTTTTTGATCCAATGCTCATTTCTTTCCTTACTCATCTCTTTCCTCCTGCAGCCCAAGGCCTGGTCTTCTTAGATTCTAATTTTCCAAACCTACAGCCACCCATCTGCTCTCCTGGAGGAATCAGTCCCATTCCCACATCCACTTGACCATTCAGGAATCTAAGACAAAGACTTGGTCAGGGCCTTCTACCTCCAGTATATTCCTGGGGATGACTCCTTGGGAAGGAGCTAGGCAGAAGGGGCCCCAAAGCACAATGATGAGAAGCAGGGCAAGGATGAGAAGGCTTCAGAGCAGTGAAAGGGAACCCACCCCTCCAACCTAGGAAATTTCTAGGCAGCTTGCGGAAGCCCAGGCAGGGGCAAAGTCCTCTCAGCTTGTGCCCAATCACACCAACCCACCCTGAGGGTTTAGGGAAGAGCCTGCTCCATTCCCAAGCCTCTTTTCTTGGACATACTTGAGGCCCCAAGCAGCTCTTAACTAGAACCACTTGACTATCTTTCTCCAAAAGATTCCAGAGTTATATAAATATAATGTGGCAGCGTTGAGAGATCACTCAGCTTAGAGAGAGGCCTAGTTTCAAGACTTGGCCTACCTATTTATCGGTTATGAGACCTTGGACAAGACTTTTTAACCTCACTGAGACTCAGTAAAAGGGGATAAGAGCAACATTCCAAGTCCTGAGATAACAACAACCATCCCTTCATTTCTTATGAGAGACAAATAACATACGGCCACTGTGATGAGCAGGACCCATGTGAACTGGGTTTGTAATTTCTGACTGGGAAACATTCCTCTGCTCTCCTCCTTATACTGCCAATGACCTCACCACCGTCTCCCCTGAAAGAAGATTTTTCTGGACTTCCCACCAGGAAGTAAAGGGCCCCACTCACCTAACCTCAGAAGCCCTACCTGAGCTGCCACACTTCCTTCAGGAAGCCCTCCAGACTAGGAGAGAGCCGAGCAAACTTCTGGGAGCTGTTGAGCATGGTGTCAGACAGGTTGACTCCCTTATGGTGAATGAGTCTTGGCAGAACAGAATGGGAGGAAATGAGCTTTAAACTGCAGTGGGAAAGATACTGGTTAATCACAACTAGAATATGCACAGACACTCAACTAGTGTAATGACTAAGACAGTGATTTCTCCTGAGAGTTATGTTTGTTAAAAAGCTGTGAGGCTAAAAGAAAACAGAAGAAAAGCAGCAGTACTCAAAGGAGAGAAATAGCTGGGGCACCATCATGCCCAGAGGCTAGAAGATGATCAGAAAGACCACTTGCTATTTGCTGAGTGCTTTGATGGTGACAGGAAAATGGAGGTGTCCAACTCCAGGTAGCCCTCCACCTCCCCAGGCTCCCAATCCTGCTCTTGTTACCTGAGATGCCCAAGGCTCTGGCAGATCCTCATACCCAGGGCAGGGTTCCAGCCCTCATGGCAGACCAGGAGCCAGGCTGGACGGGCTCTCACCTTCACTTCCAGCAAGAAGTCTCCACTATTTATTCTGAAAGACACTGAAACCACAGCATGAAAACAATATCCCAGGGATAGGGATAGGACAGGAAGAAGAGGACCTGGAATTCTGTGGGACAAGAAGAAGCCTCAGTGGTCATCCAAGTCACCCCATGTCAGGCTCCCTGTTCCCCATGTGTCAAGCCAATCCTAAAAATAATATAACCCTATTTGTTGAGATTTTTTCATTTTGTGTTTAACTGTGTGCTTTGGAAGGTGCTCCATGCATCACTCATCAAGGTAGCTGTATGCAATGACTATTACCACCCTCCAATTCTGCAAAGGGAAATAAGGCACAGAGGTAAAGCAACTTGTCCAAAATCACAGAATGAGCAAGAGATGGACACAGGACTTAAGTCCAGGTCTTCAGATTTCAAACCTCATGACAATAATAGTTATCACTTATTGAGTGTCTGTTTTTATCAAGCTGTTAAGGACCAAAATGTACCCCACCCTATCTCCCCACCCCTGATTCCTGTGTTGAAGCCCCAACTCCCAATGTGACTGTAATTGGAGATAGGGCCTTGAAGAATGTAATTAAAATTAAATGAGGTCATCAGGGTGGTGTCTGATCTGATGGGGCTGGTGTCCTCTTAAGAACAGAAAGAGACAGCAAGCATATGGTTGCTTACTTTCTCTCTCTGTGTCCTAGCAAATAGAAGAAAGGTCCCCAGAGGACACAGTAAGAAGGCAGCCATCTACTACTAAAAATCAAATTTTTAACACCTTGCATTTGAACTTCTAGCCTCCAGAACTATAAGAAAACTCTTTTTTAATTTTTTATTTTAATTTATTATATATGACAACAGAATGCAATACAATTCGTATTACACATATACAGCACAATTTTTCATATCTCTGGTTGTATACAAAGTATATTCACACCATCCATGTCTTCATGTCTTCATACATGTACTTAGGGTAATAATGTCCATCTCATTCCACCTTCTTTTCTCCCCCATGTCCTTTCCCTTCCCTCTCACCCCTTTGCCCTATCTTGAGCAGAACTGTAAGAAAATTAATTGTGGTTTAAGCCACCCAGTCCATGGAACTTTGTTATGGCATCCTAAGCAGACTGCACAGGCTCTGAACTAAGCTCTTTTTATATATTAGCTTGTTCTCCTTGTAGCTTTATGAATATTTTTAGATATAAATATGTGTATGTGTGTGTGTGTAAGTACTTACCGAGGATTGAACCTAGTTGTGCCTAACCACTGATCACATCCCCAACTTTTTTTTTTTATTCTGATTCAGGGTCTGCTAAGTTGCTCAGGGCCTTGCCAAGTTGCTGAGGCTGGCTTTGAACTCACGAGCCTTCTACCTCAGCCTCCCAAACCACTAGAATTATAGGTGTGCACCATACCTGGCCTGCAGTAAATATTTTTATTTCCTTCTTATAGAGAAATGGAAGTTCAAAGAAATAATGTACCCAAGGTCATGCAGTTAGCAGAAGAAACAATTCAACTTTATTCTACCTTTCATGATTTATTCCAACCCTCAGCCTCTGGGTAGCATCATGTTCCTACCTAGAAGGAAAGTGAAGGTGGGGAAGGGGCAGGGAACACTGTGGAGAGAGGTCCCTAGACACCTAGGTAACCATGCTGGTCACATACTGAACTCCTACCTACAAATATCTAGCCCTTCTCCCCCTGGCTCACTCTGCCTCAAATGGTAAGTTCCATCCCTCCTTCCACGCCTGAGATCAGAATACTACCTAGGGAGGTCCAAAAGTCCCAAATCAGAGATCAATGTTGCAAGGGTAGACCTATCACCACCCTCACATTAGAGGAGGGAAAGGCAAATGATAGCAGTGAACTGACAGCCCTTCATTTGGGTCCTCCTGCTCCTGGGAGGGGGGATCCCAGAGATGTAAAGGACCCTGGGCTGAGAGGAAAGGGAATATCTTTTACACTCGTGAGTGTGGCCTACCTGCTTTGGGAATTGAAGGGAGCAGAACTTCCTCATTGCTGGCCCCTGAGCAGTTCAACATCATCTCCTCATCCTGCAAGGTCCCAGAAATGGGCTGAGAGGCAGCTGGCCACAGATACAGTACTTTAGAGAAGAACAAAAAGAGGGTCACAGAGAAGAGCTGGGGCAAGGGAAGGAATTTCCAAAAGAGGGGGACAAGGCATAGGACAAGACACTCTTGCTGCAGAGCAGACCTGGACCTGGAGACTCCTTCTCCACCACCTGCCTTTAGGTGCCCCCTACCCAATCTTCAGAGGAGAGGCACAATGCTCTGTTTCTGTCTCTCTGTCTTTCTCTTTGTCTTTCTCTGTCTCTTTCTTTCTCATGGAAAAGACTTCTAGAAAAAGCCTGATTAGGGCTGCCCTGAATCATCCTCTCAGGTAACTCAGGACACTACTTCTCACAGTAAGACTAAACATTCTTCTCTACATGGAGCCTAAATCCATTCTGTTGCATTCATCCCTTCTCTTCTTACTGTCTATACAGAGCAGTTGAGAAAGGTGCTCATCTTAGCTGCTTGCTTATAATGCCTGCTCAACACTTGCTTCTCCCTTCCACTTTCCCCCAGATCCTGTCTTTGTCCCTTCAAGACCACAGAAGAGACCCAGCACTGACCCAGGAGCCATGAGCCGACACCTGCACCAGCCAGCAGTCCCAGGGCTCCCAGCACCACACAGCCACGTCGTACAGAGCACCAGCGCCCCACCTTGGAGACTGTGGAGGAGGACAGAGGGCTCTCTGGGTTCTCAGCTCCTGCCAGCCAATCTTACTCCACACACCAAGCTCCAGCAGGAGTCCACCCCAGCTCCCTGAACCTGGAATGGGTAAGTGCAATGCCCTGATCCCTGAAGCCCCAGGTCCCACTCAATTCCCCAATGGGAAACAGAAAGCAAAAGCAAATAGGGGATAAAGAGTGGACACTCTCTCACCATCAATCATATAGGGTTGACCCAAGGAGAAGAAAGGTAATATAAGAGGATTACCGTTCACTGTCATTCCCCAGTCAGGCCTACTGGGCTGTGGCTGGTCTCTCGGCTCTGCTCTGGAGATCGCAGGTGCTGGGCCCTTCTCTGCACACTGAACCTCCATAGGTACTTGATCATCCAGCATCAGGCTCTGGGGAAATAGTTGTCAGATCCCAGGATCCTGACATCAAAGTCTGCAGAGAAAAGCCTCAGCCCACTCCAAGTGCACATTCTAATCTTGACCGTGTTCCTGCTGCTGCCTACAAACTTTTATTCCCTTGGGGTCTCCCTATGTGTTCCCTGCAGGACCTCTCGGCACTCCTTGAGGCCTTAACTTCACCCATCTTACTCTCACGTAGCCTGAGTATCAGAGTGAAGACTTGAATTCAGACTTAGTCACTCCAAAGCCCACACTCCTGATTAACCTCTCCCTGGTCTTATCTCCTATGAGCATCAAGGCTGATGGTCCCTCAATATCCCAGTCCAGGCTTCAAGATCCTACCTTCCTTCATTCTTTCTATCTCAGAGGGAAAGAAGTCTCTCCTACATATACCCACCCTTCCCTTCATTCATTCAGAAAATATTATTTAGCCCAAGTGCACGGGTCACTATGGGGGATACTGTAGGGAGTTCAGGATAAGTAAGCATGAACCACTTCACCACTGCCTCAAAATATCTGCAATACTGTCCCAAAGATGTCATAAAAACAAAGTGGAATGTGTTAAGTGACCCAAGAAAACTTCAACTAAACTACCACTGACACTGATGAAATCAAGAGGGGCTTCCTAGAAAAAGTCCCTCATGGATGAACAGGACTTGAACTATATAGGCATTGGTAGTCCAGGCAAAGAAGACTGAATATGCCAAGATACACAAGAAAGCATAGTGCAGAATAAGTCATATGTGTGTCTGAGACTCTTGAGCCATGAAGAAGAGAAACAAAACATAAAATCTTGGGGGAAAAAAAACAGACAGTTCAAAATAAGGTCTATAACCTATTATGTGAACTGGGAAAACACCGGCTATGTCACCAAATAAATGAGATTCAATTTTCTCATTTATAGAATGTAATACTTGCTATTGAGTAATCTCTTTTCTCTAGTATCTTATCTCCCTCTGTTATTCTCTATACTACAGAGCCAGAGTAACCTGCAAAATTACTCTAAAAAGCAAAGCAAGCACAGAGACCCCATCTTTAAAGTACCCACTGAATCTTTGCAGCCTTGGGACCAATCCAAACTCCATAGGTCCTTCTATGATCTCACCCTTCCTTATTTCCCTACTAAGTCCCTCCACAGCCCAACTCAGGGACATGCTGATAAACATGCCATTCCCAAGCACCCTGAGGCACTCTCACACCACAGAGACTTTGCACCTGCTGTCCCCTTCCCCAGGAAGCTGACTCCTACTAACCTTTCAGGACTCAATGTAGTAAGGAGTTTTCTTCAACTCCTACCACACCTATTGTGGCCCTGTATGCTGCTTCTTTCTCTTTCCTTCCTCATTCAGCTATGTATCTCAGGGCCTGTGTATAAGAGGACTTCTTGGTCCCCTTTTGGCACAAAAGGAGAACTTAGATAAAGTACACAGGAGGAAACAAGGAAGAAAGAAAGGAAGGGAAAACAAGAAAATGTGATTGAGATGGCTTTATAAATTATAAAGCACAATGCAAATGTGAACTATATTAATATGAATAAGGAACACATATAAGCTTCAGATCCTTCCTCCAGGAATTTATCAGTAGAGTAGATAAGACCCCTTATAGTGGGAGTGACATATCTGCCCTGCAGATCTGTCTCTGTCAACACACAGTTTGTTTCCATTGGTTGTTTCCACTGTTTCACAGCCTGAAACATGACTCCAAAACATCATTGGCCTAGATGTGATTTTCATGTGTTGAATGAAATGCACTTTTCTCACTAAAACCCTCTTTACTCCTGCCTTTATGGTTCATTGAACTGGCTTTCCTGATCCTCTGACCAGTGTACAGAAGGCCTTTGTCAGACTCACCCAGGACAGCTAACTCCAAATGGTCTGAAAACAATTTCCTGGAACGCACGAACATCCACACCAGCTCAGCTCACACATGGGCCAGCAGTCCAACACCTTCCTATGAAATGAGGTACCAGTCCACCTCCCTGTCCCTACACCAATCACAGCCAGGACCTGTAACACTGGATCTCCCACCAGAAGCAGTTGCTTCTCCAGGAGAAACACTGGCCATGGTTTGCACCCTACCACACACACACTCCTTCTATGCTTAGAGATAACACTCACAGGGCACAGGTAATGAGGTTAAAGGACAGCAGGCTTAGAAAAGGAAGCTAAGAAAGCAAAGAAGGCAATAGTGTGGGCATATGAGGTTTTAGATTCTTCTATGGAGCTTCTTTTGAGCTGATGTCCCTCAGAGCAGAGAGGCAGGGCCTGTTCTAGAAAGAATTTCAGGGCCTGCCCAGCCTTTCCTCTTGTTTCAGTATCCAGGGAGCTAAGCTAGGCTTTAAACCCAATCTATGAACAAACTAACCTCACCTTAGGTATTGCCCTACCTCGAATTCCACCTACCCAAGCTTATATAGTGGCCTTAAAACATGGTCTTTCATAGTACAGGACCTCTTAGTCCTCTTTGGAAGTGAGAGTTCAATGTAATAATGATTTGCTAAACATCACCTATGTGCAAAGCACTTCACTAGGCCTATGGAGGACAAGAAAAGAGAATAAAATGCAGTTTCTAGGGAGAAAACAGGGGGTTATCCCTAAAGGGCCCTTGCTAGGACTCAGCCCCTGTACCAGAGCTGCCCAAGCAGGCTCTTTTCACCAGCCTAGAGTCCCAAAGGCAGGAAAAAGAAAGAAAAAGACCAGGGCAGGGGATGGCACAGAGACATAGTCTTACCATGTGGGTCACTGGCACTGATATAAGCCTTCAGGGTCTGCTAGGCAGGGTTCTGCTCCTGTCCTTGTGTCAGCATTGATTAAATAGCCCAGCCTGCTTGGTTGGAGGATGAAGTCTCCCTGGTTTACACATGGCCCTTCCCTTTGTCCCCCCTACACACACACACACACACACACACACACACACACACACAGAGATACGCACCAGAGAGACAATAAGCTCTGCTCAGGACCCATGAATAGATCCCTTGTTGTAGGGAAGGGGGCCAAGGGCTGGGCTGGGCTGGGCAGCCCCAGCCCCTCCCATCTGCTAACTGGAAGCTCAGAAACAGAGAAAAAGGTTATGGGGAGGAGGGGAGGCCAACTACTGTTGCTTAGCAACCAGGTCCCTTGTGCCAAAAAGTGTGCCCCATGCATGCTAACACAATTCCCCCTTCCTGCTGACAGGACTGTCCTGCTGAGAGCAACTGATATTAGCATTTGTTGAAATGTTTCTGAGCCCTCTGGATTACATCTCGCTTCTGTGTGGTTTGGTTTTTCTAGCAGTCTGGGGATGTCACCTTACATCAGTGCCATTGACCCACATGTGCTATCTCTGCTCCAACCTCTCTCTCCTCCTCTCTTGGCTGGTGGAAAGTGCCTCCTCTAGCAGCTCTGTTGCGGGGGCTGAACTAGCAGGGCCCCTAGCAGGGCCCCCAGCAGGGCCCTGTGTGGACAACCTCCTGTTGTCTCCCCTAGGAACTTCCTCTTAACTCTCTTCTCTTGTAACACCTAGGATGGAGTTATTGTGATGAAGATGAGGGATCTTTCTCCTCAGGGCTATATCTCTTACCTTAACACTAGGAAGAGGAGCCTCTCCACCCTATCTGCCCTAGGAGCCAGTCATTATAAGAATCCTCAGTGCTACCTTGTTTCAAAATATAAAATATCCCAGCTGAGCCCAGGCTGGTCTGAACACACCTGGAAACCACATCCCTTTAGACAAGGAAGTGGGACAATCCCAGGGAAGGGAAAGGCTGGTGTGGCTTCCTCTCCTTCAATCTTCCTCTCATAGAGCCCTCATATGGAATGGCTAAGAATATGGGCTTCCGAGTCAAGCTTTCATCGTTTCATCTCCCATTACCCTTAATGACCTCACCTATAAAATTAGGGTAATAGTACCTAACAACATTGATAGAATTATATAAGATATTGAATATTGAATATAACGCTCTTATCTTGGTGTCTAGTATTATTATTATCACTGTTGAAACTCATCCACACAGGCTTTATTTTCCCTTTTTGCTCTCTCTGTTCTCCATATACTTAGTATGTCCTCTGAGCTTATGGCCAGCACACAGAGCTCTTTGCACACAATACAACAAGAGAGGGAGGTCAGCTCTGAACTATAGATGTAGGAGAGGAATGGTGGCCATTGCTGAAAATCTCCTGGTTAGGTTCTGAGGTCACCTAGGGCAATGCTCTTCAGTCTACAAACTGTGTCAGGAAGGAGCCTGGCATGAGGGATGAATAGTCCCAGGCGTGGAGCAAGCATGCTAAAAGGAGAGATAGGAACAGATATAAATAACTGCTATTTGTGAAAAGTGAAATTACCGAGGCCTAAACACAGAGGTATAGGAGAATAGAGGAATAGTTGAATCTTCTGCCCAGAGGGCTTCACAATGGAGGAGACATTTGAACAGAGTTTTGAGAAATGAGAAAACAATCACAGAAAAGGGCATTTCAAACATATCTCAGGTGATGTCAATGAAAATGACAGAGTAAAGACCTCTGAAAATTCTCTCCTCCATTAAAGCAGTGAAAAAAACTAGCAAAGAAATTGTCAGAATCAATTTTTTCAAGACTCCGGAAACTAACCAAAAGCTCACAGCAATTTGGGAAGTGTTTATTTAAAAAAAAAAAAAAAAAAGGCAACATAATCTCGGTAAGAACAGTCAGCTTTGTACATTTTAATTTATTCTAATTCCATCCCCTTCACTTCAATTCTGCATTAGCCTTGAAAACCAACATCCCATAATTATGATAGAAAATAGCAATCTGGTAGCCACAAAAATGGGTAGAAAAGGCTTAGATATCCTTCAAAACCTCATTCCAGAGAGTTCTCACAATTTGACCTATCTAGTGGTTCCCTGGAAGATCCCATTTGCAAGACTGTCTTTATTTAAGCTGACTTGGTGTTTGCCCTACTTGAAAAGCTGTTTTACCTAAGGGCACCTGTTGAAAACAATTGGCGACAACTATTGGATTTAATAGCTGACATAGGAAGTGGATAATAGTTGAGCCAAACAGTAGTCAACCTAAAATACTCAAAAGAAAAATCTGATGAAGGAGATGCCAATAAGCAGCTTTAAATAGCTCCAATAAATATCTGGGAATCTAGAAAGCCCATATGTTGTGTTAGTCAGCTTTTCATCACTGTGAATAAGATACCTGATAAGAAAGCTTACAGGAGAAAAAAGTTTAATTTGGTTGGTGGTTTAAGAGATTTAATACAAGGTGGGCCAACTCCATTGCTTTGGGCCCAAGGTAAGGCAGCATGTTATGGCAGAAGGGCATGTTGCAGGGAAGCTGCTCAGGACATGGTGGCCCAGGAAGCAGAGAGAGGGAGAGGAAAGGATTTCAGGGAAGATGAACCCTCACAGTACTTCCCCCAGTGACCCACCTCCTCCAGCCATGCCCCATATTCCTACAGTTATCACCCAGTTAACTCAAACAAAGATGGACTAATTAGGTTATAGTTCTCAAAATATAATTATTTTACCTCCAAAATTCTTGCATTAACACAGGAACTTTGGGGGGACATTACATATCCAGATCATAACATTCCACCCCTGGCCCCCAAGAGCTTGTGTCCATCTCACAATTCAAAATGCACTTAGTTCATCTCCAAGAGTCCCATAGGGTTAATGGTTCCAGCATTGCTCAAAAGTCACAGTCCAAAGTCTCATCTGAAACTCAAGGTAAACTCTTGATTATGATCCCCTCTAAAATTAAAAAATAGATTACATATATCCAATATACAGTGGCATAGAGTAAACATTCCCATTCCAAAAGGAGAAATAGAGTCATAGAAAGAAGGGATGTGACCAAAGCAAGACCAAAACCCAGCTTGGCACACAGGTCCTATAACTCTATGTACAACAGCCAGGACACATGGCAAGAGACATGTGCTTTCCAAAGGGCTTGGGCAGTCCCACCCCTTTGACCTTGCCAGTTGCAGTGCCTGTGGTTTTCTTTTATCCTGGCTTTCTTCCCAGCCAATGGCTTTTCTCAGTGGACAGTCCACATTAGTGGCATTTCTTAATTTCGGAAGTCTTCATTCCAGCCTTGGCTTTACCTTCACAACTTCGTGCATCACTCTCTCAGAGGAAACCCACAGGGATTCCAAGCCTGCTTACACTTTACTGGGCCTCCCAGGCCTTCCTTTGAAACCTCAATGAAAGCATCTATAACCCCTTCAACTCCATCATCCAGCATTCCTACAGAACCAGTGCTACATGGATGATGCCAAAGTCACAGAGTTGCTGTACCCCTTGGAATCATGGCTGCAGCAGTCTCTGAGTATCTGCACAGTTGAGCACAGTGAAACAAATTCCTACCCCCTACAGGAAGGGTGTCCCCAGGCTTTCTTCTCAAAAGCATTTTCCCTTTCATGGCCATGTCTTTGCAATTGGGTGTGGTCTTGAAAGTTCCTGAGATGCCCTCAAGCCATCTTTCTTATTATCTCTGTGTAAAGTACTTAGCATCACTTCAGTAGCTATGATCTCCTTAACAACCATGGCCCTAGTATTACTATTTGTCCTATTCTGGACAAACTGAAAGTTTTTAAAATCCTTCAGATCTTCTTTCTCTCCAAATTCTCACAGTAAATCTGGCTAAAAGACAACAAAATCAATACCAGTGACTGAATACTGTGCTGCCTTAAAATGTTCACCACCAGATTAATGAGCCAATAACTTTAAAATTCAGCCTCCCTGAAAATCTCAGGACATGGCAAAATGAAGACAAGTTCTTTGCCAGAATGTAACACAAATGTCCTCTAGTCCAATTCCTAATAGAATCCTTATTTCCTTCTATAACCTCATGAGCACAGTCCACATTCCTATCAGTATTCCATTCTTCTGAGCTCTAAGAATCACCCATTAAGTTCTGCTTACAATATTCTCAGGCTTTTCCCACCTGCCTCTCCAAACTTTTCCATTGACTCCATTTCTTGATACCAATTTCTATGTTAGTCGGCTTTTCGTTGCTATGATGAAAATATTTGACAAGAATAACTTAGAGGAGGAAAGTTTATTCTGGCTCAGTTTCAGAGGTTTAGTCCATGGTGGGCCAACTCCATTTTTCTAGGTTCAAGATGAGATAAGACCTCATAGTGCTAAAGATCTTCTCTGTTCATGGCAGCTGGAAAGCCAAAAGAACAAGGAAAAGAGGCTGCAGAGAATGAACCCTTAAAGGGCACTGAGGCTGGACCCACATTGACCCACCTCCTCCAGTCATGCCCACCTGCCTATAGTTACCACTATATCCATTCAACTTTGGGTGGACTGATTAGGACTGATTAGGCCTCCCAATTCAATAATTTCCCTTCTGAACACTCCCACATTAACACAAGAAGTTTGGAGGAACAACTCATACCCAAACCATAACATTTGCATAGGATTTTACACATGCCCAGTGGTATGTACATGTGCAAGAAAGACGTAAGGTCCTAAATTATCACCTTTGTCTCACCTGGAGATGAATAGGAAGGCTAAAGTGAAGTAGTAAACTTCCTGTGTGAATGCTGAAGGCATGCACCAACATACATATAGAGCCTCTCTACAAAGACTGGGAAACTTATTAGTTCCAAGCGTGAGGACATTCTCTGTTCAGTCAGTACCTGCATTAAGTTGAGACTTCAGGAACCATACAGGACAAAGAATACAGATTTCACAGGATTCGTTTTGAAAGTCACTAAATAAATGAGCAACAGCAGTAACAACAAACCACAGGGAAAGGGAAGAATCTGACATTCAGAGTTGCTATACTACATTATTTAAAACCCAGTTTTCAACAAGAAATTATAAGATATACAAACGAAGAAGAAAATAAGGCTCATACATGGGGAAGAGAGAATCAATCAATAGAATCTCTACCTGATGAAGCCCAAATATTGGGAAATCCTGCATATTCTTAAGAGAGCCTGCCCCCTTCTTTTTAATTTTGTATTTGTTCTAATCAGTTATGCATGACAGGAGAATGCTGTCAGATTCATCATACACAAATGAAGCACAATTTTTCCCTTCTCTGGTTGTACATGAAATAGGGTCACACCATTCATGCAATCATATTTGCACCTAGGGTAATGATGTCTGTCTCATTATATCATCTTTCCCATCCCCATGCTGCCTCCTGCCCCCACTTTGGCCAATCCAAAGTTCCTCCAGTCATCCCATATCACCCCCCCATTATGGATTAACATCCACTTATCAGAGAAAACTTTCAGTTTTGGGTTCTTGGGAATTGGTTTACTTCACTTAGCATGATATTCTCTAACTCCATCCATTTACCTGCAAATGCCATAATTTTATTCTCTTTTATTGCTGCATGATATTCCACTGTGTATATATACCATAGTTTTTTGTCCATTCATCTATTGAAGGGCATTTAGGTTTGTTCCATAGTTTGGCTATTGTGAACTGTGCTGCTATAGACATTGATGTCCTTGTAGTATGCTAATTTTAAGTCCTTTGGATATAGACCAAGGAGTGGGACAGCTAGGTCAAATGATGGTTCCATTCCAAGTTTTTTAAGGAATTTCCATACTGCTTTCCATATTGGCTACATCAATTTGCAGTCCCACCAGCAATCTATGAGTGTGAGGGCCTGCCCCCTTTCTACGATGACCTGGATGGTGCCCAGGTAGAATATATTAGAAAAATTTCTGTTTAGCATCAAAAACCTTTCTGCTTAGAAAAAGGAAAAGAAAGGTTATGGGTAACAGGGTGAGGAAGTTGGAAATCTCATGAACATTGAAGGGAGATCAGTAGATTAGAGGAAAAAGACCAGAGAAGGGAAAAGAGAAATACTGGGTAATATTGGCCAAATTATATTGTTACATTGTGTACATGTACAAATATAACAATGAACCCCATCATTATGTATAATTACAATACACTAATAAAAATACAAAAATAAAAGAAAAACAAAAAAGGTCTCTGTTCCCAAATAGGTGTCCATCTCTGATAATTATCATAAAGTCTCAGTTTATAATTTTCTTATGTAATACCTCGCACACAAAATAGTCACAGTTTCTACCTGGTCATTATTAGTGACACCATTACCTGTACGGGTCCTCTAGGGACCTTGAGGTGAGAGCTCTTAGTATGTACTCTGGGTACAATCTGTAAATACGAAAAGGAGGTGAGTTACATTTGCCACTATTAAATTATTGCCACTATTACATCTGCCACTATTAAATAACAACAAATAAATGTATGTATAATATAATAAAATGTATTATAAAACTAAGTTCTTGCCAATTAGAACTGAAGAAAAAATAGCTAGGCAGCTAGAGGATGCAAGCTATTATTGTCTTAGAAGCATTCTATGGTATTGTTATAAGATGAAATGTGCCTTTCCAAATTCATATATTGAAGCCCTAACATCCAGTATATTAGAATATAGCTATTTGGGAAGATAAAATTCTTTTTTTTTTAAA